ACACACATATATGTTTCACTGGTTTTGCTTCTCTAGAAAACTCGACCTCAGACAAACATCATGCTAGAAAATGAGCCTCTTAGCTTGACACATACTCAAAATACACAATATCTGTAACAATGAACTTGAGCAGACAAACAATCATGCGTGAAGATGGTGCAGGACTAGCCAATATTTCGTTCCGCTCTACATAGGGTCACCTGATGCAGAGCAAACTCGAGGCAACTCAAAATGCCAACACCCTATATCTACGCTGCTTTAGGCAAGTCTGCAACGAAAGCACTCTGCCCAAACACTGTCCCTGGCATCTGTGGTGCTTTCCCATTGCAGGAGCTGAATGAGATCCCACTGCCTTACTTTTCTGATCTTTGTTTTTGTTGTTTGCCTGGAACACTCTTCCTGGGTTTTTCGCAGACTGCTTTTTATGTGCAGATCTCAGTGTGGAGACCACTTCCTCCCTAACCATCTCAGTCACTAACTCGCCATCCTCCTATCACTGCCTCTGCACTCCAGCAAGGTGTTATTTAATGGGCCTATGACAGCATCCCCAGCCCACTCTGGAGAATGGACAGAGGAAACCCCTCCCCAAAGCCACGGTACTCACAGAGCTCACACTTCAGGCCAAAGTTCTTTCCAATCTTGTTGATTCTGACCATGGGGGTATTCCCAATTTTCTTCAGGATATCTGGCAAAATTTGAGGGGTGGTTGACCTAAAACAGAAAAATCTACTATTATTCAGTTAAAGCAAAGAGCAGCACTGTCCTTGGCAGTCTCAGCACATTGTTTTAAATAAATCAAAAGTCAAAGAAGTGGCTTTCATGGAAGATTTGGGGGGTCATTACATTAATCTGTCCCTAAAATAAAAGAGTCCTGGTGTGGCGCTGTGGGCTAATGTGTCAGACTGCTAAGTCTTTTGAACTGCAAGGTCGGTGGTTCAAACTCACCAGCTGCGCCTTGGAAACCCTATACAGGGTCGCTATGGGTCGGAATCGACTCGACAGCACTTAACAACAACAAAATAAAATGTCATAGCAACACACACACACACAAACAACTCCCTCCCCAAACCAATGAAAACCTAGTCCTGTCTGTAGTTATCAGCATTGTGCCAATGTCAGTTTCCTGGGTTGACAATTTCGGCACAGTG